AGTGTCTGAAGTGATCAAGCAGCCCGAACGGGAATAAACCGGAAACGGTAAACGAAACCCAGAGCTGAACCCGACACACCCTCGTTGGGACAAATAGCCTGGTAGGATTCAAAACGCGGTAGTTGAAACAAGGTCAGGCTCGACAAGAAACGTCGAGGAACGGACGGCAAAACGCTACGCGGTAAGCGTCTTTGCAAAAAGAAGTCGCGCAAACGTTGCCGACACACGAGACCACACCAATCTATGAGTCGCGAAAGACGACCCATACGGACGCCTAACCACGACCCAGCTGACCTGGGAATGTATCTCGATGGGGAAGGACGACAAGACGAGGTCTTTGAGTCGCAGAGACGCCGGTCAGAGCATACTCTGAACACTAGAAGAGATTTGGCGCAAACCCTCAACGAAGTAGGAGCGGACGAGTACGAACTCATAAACGCCCTACAAGATCAGATTAGCGCGCTCACCAGACGCCTAGAAGGGCTCGAAACCGAACGGGACCTGAGGAACAGGCCGAGCTTAAGGTGGCGGCCGGAACCCGCAAAAGAAAGGCGAAGCATACCCTCGACCGTCGGACCACAACGGTCAGATATAGGGTTAGCGTTGAAAAACATCAAGACCTACGATGGAAGCGACGCAAACGAATTAGACGGATTCATAAGGTCATGCGAAACCGTATTTAGAAGGGTTGCCGAAGTGGACCACGAACTTCTGCTGGAATTGGTGCTCAGCGGTAAGCTAAATGGGAAAGCCTCAAGGGAGCTGAAGCACAAAACCATCACCGCCCTAGACGAATTAAAGTACGAACTAGAGGCTCTGTACGGGCAGCGTAAATCGCTGGCTGCCCTACAAATGGAGTTCAATTCCCTGAAGCAGAACCCAGGAGAAGACGTCACCACGTACGCAACGAGAGTTGAAAAAATAACAGTAGATCTCGTGGAAAAACTGTGCGAGCTGGTGCCCACAGAAAGGGATGCGCAAACGGTCGAAACCGTCACGCGCAAGTGCGCACAAGCAAACTTCGAAAACGGGCTGCACGGCCAGGTGCAGATCTTAGTGCGATCAAGAAATTACGAAACCCTTCACGAGTCGGTTGCTGGAGCCATCGAAATTAGCAGGATGGTGCAACCGAAAGGGCCTACAACGGGACAGCCCCAAAACGCGAGAAGGTCCATGCAGGGCCAAGCGGCAGGGGGAAAAACCTGTTACAACTGTGGTAACGCCGGGCACATGGCACGAGATTGC